GCTAAAGGTTTAGTATATACACACGTGAATATATAAACAAAGCTAAAGGTTTAGTATATACACACGTGAATATATAAACAAAGCTAAAGGTTTAGTATATACACACGTGAATATATAAACAAAGCTAAAGGTTTAGTATATACACACGTGACTATATAAACAAAGCTATAGGTTTAGTATATACACACGGTAAATATTTGCCTTTCTCAAGAATTTCTTCTGCACGTTGATCTAAAAGTGTAATCTGTTCATCTTAGTCGAAAAAGCCTCATTTCTTTAATGTAGTCGTTTCTAAGCTGCTCTTAACATTCAAAAATATGTCGATCTTGTTCTTGCTAGATAAACACATATGTCTGTAAAAGTTCTGTGCACAGTATTATAGAAACTTCCAGAATACGGACTTGTATGTTAGGATAAGCTCTAAAATATCTGATTAAGAATGCGGATATTTAACGGACCAGCTGGCTACTTCCAATAATAACCAAAAAAAGAACTGGTATAAAGGACTCGACCGCTAGGTCGGTCAGTTACACTGCCTTCTTGTATAGCAGGTTGTTCAAAAGGAAGATACGGATATACCCGTGGATAAAAACACACATGCCAGTTATAGAGGATGTTTAGAGATGTACGTATTAATCAACCAATATAACCAGATGTTTATAACGTACTTTAAGTTATTTTTATATATTTAAGACAAAGTGAAACTACTTTACCTGACTTCCAAATCAGCAACCGTATTATTTGCATTATTACACGTGTTCTTTTATTTAATTAGCTGGACTGACTGAGTTTCCCTGACTTATTGCTCAATAATAAATTCTTTGAAACGCCTAGTCTTAAGAGAGTCTTAAAACATCGAAGTTAAGACATATCTAAGGACAAATATCTGTTTCGTTGATAGCTCAGTTCAGAAACATCTCACTCTTTGAAACAATTAAAGCAATCACAAAATCCATATTCTTCCATGTTAGACATTAAAGGTTCGTAACTTAAGCTTAGAATATTCTTACATCTTAAACGTTAAAAGGTCGTTCGGTTAGGCTTAACATGTACTTACATCTTAGACGCTAAAAGATCCCTTACTTAGGCTTAACATGTACTTACATCTTAGACGCTAAAAAGCCCCTCACTTAGGCTTAACATATTCTTCCGTCGCAGTCATTAAAAAAGTCCCTCACTTAGGCTTAAGGTATTCTTCCATCCTAATCATTAAAAGGTCTCTCACGTAGGCTTAACATATGAAAATAACCTAGTAAAAGTAAAATATATGACATTAACATTGACTAAGTATCTTGGTCAAAACTCTGATACAATTCACAAGTATTAACTTTGTTTTTCGTTTCCTTCCATATAACGGACAATTTTTTCCCCTTTAGATATTCATATTTCCTATAGCTGTATATCAAACTAGACGAACACAATTGTCTAGACAGGTCGAACAGTGTGCCCTCTGAAGCCAGTTTTTCCAGATTTCCTCTTTTCTTTATTTTATTGTTCATTGTACCACAATTTTAAACAGTTTTTAGGCTGTTTGTGAGTTAAATTTTTATGTATTGATCAATAAAATAATTTTCTTCATACGAGGATGGACTCTCGAGTGATTATTTAAGATTATATAAAAGAAGTAAAATAATTATTAAATTCTTCATGAAACTTTTGACAAATGAATAATATAGTTTCGAATCAGCTAATCAAATGTATTAAAGAGGAAGGATTCATGTTTCCGAAAAGATATTATGTGTTCTGATCACGAATCTCTTGATAATTGCCTGGGTAATCCAGTTATCCAGTATGGATACATGATGTGGATAGAAATTCATCCAACAATATTATTACTTTTCCTACTGTTTTAATGCTACCCTTATTAATGTTACTATACACTTCAAGACATAATGATAATTTCTGGTGACTTGACTTAAGAACTGTAAATTATCTAAGTTTTATTCATATCCAGCCTGGGAAAAAAAGAATAAAAAAAAGTAACATTCTTGTCGTAGCGGAACACACCGTAACGCCGTTTATTTTGGTCTCTGAAACAACGTTCTGGCATTTTTTGAAACCTCTTTGACACTAAGGTTCAATTCGTGTATCCAACTCTACAATATTTCTCTTCCTTGTTATCAAATATCTCAAAAAATATGCAATGTATACCTCAGAGGCACGTACTTCCCGAAAGACTTGCCCTAAATGGTAAACAAAATACAAAGGTCTGCCTAAATATTGCTGTATATGACAGCGGTTTTGTGAGGACAGTGTGTTAGGGCGCAGAATGAATTTAGTCGGCCCTAACTGAAAAACACTAAAAACGTGCATTTGTTTTATCTATTTCATAGAGCAACACAAAGGCCTAAAACCCTGCCTTTCTGCCCTCACGATTTTACTGGATCCGAGACAGCCTCTATTGCTTTGTTTGTGTTCTACAGTGGATATTCAAATGATAAAGTAATAAATGATAATATAATTTAATATTAATAGACAAGCCCTATAGGATTATGCAATTAAGCGATCACTTTAAAAAATAACCTAGCGGATATAATAAAATGAAATATACGCATTTTTATAGATTTATTGTGTTAGTTTGTTTGTTTGGCGCAAAGCTACACGAGGGCTATCTGCGCTAGCCGTC